ATAATATAGAAGCCTAAGAGTTAATAACATTAAGTTCTAAGAATTAGCAAAAAATTAGGAACTCGAACCCGGTCACTGACCGGGTCTTATAAACTAATAACGTTGAGGACTAAGAATTAGCAAAAAATTAGAAACTCGAACCCGGTCACCGACCGGGTCTTAAGAGCTAGTTTACTAATAAAACGCTAACCCTATGTGATGTCGTCTAAGTGAACTTTCGATGAAGTGAGCAGCACCAACTTTTTATTGGTAATAAATTCGAAATTCATAAATGTTTCATGTTATAGTATGTAAAGTTAAATAATAAAGGTACTGAATAATTTCGAACGAACATGGCTTTTTCTTTTTTTTTACTCAATAAAATTTTAAAATTTAATTAAGTTTTATAAATTCGATTTATAATGTGACAAAAAATGTTATCTGCTGGTTACGACTAGTGATTTAAGCCGCATGATTTTAGTCGGCTGGCCAAAGAATAGGTTGGTTACGCAACCAAAATCCAGCAAACTGACCAAATTTCCAGGTTGGAATGGTCGAAATTGACTTGAAATTTTACTAACAAACATTAGCTTATGTACTAAGTCAAATTGTTCAAACGTTAATTTAATATAGTTGGCTAACATTATTGCTTAATGCCGGCTTAGCTCCGATGCATTCGACTCTAAATTTTGGTTTATATAAAAAAATTTGTGGTTCCCCGGTATGTACTTTATGGAGCGCAATGTTCAAACTATTACGTTCGAATAGTTATTTATAAAAAGACATAATACTCGATAAATACCGTAAATTAAAATAAAATGAAACCAATATATCAACACATCCGATGATTTTTTTATAAAAACGAGATCTAGAACACCATATCATAGTTTGCAATCAGTATGTACAGTATGTAGTACATCCACGAATGTATATCAATACTTATGGTGAGTGAATATTTCCATTATCAAATCATAAATTTTTATCAATATTAATAAAACCATTTTCTTAGCCAATCAAAAGTTGACTTTAAAAATAATTTAATAAAATCTTCCGTTTCCGAGTATCTTGACAATTGCCATGCCTGTTGAATTAAAGGAAAGGTAAATTACGTGGATATTAATTTTTAAATCATGTCTTTCTATATCCATTAATACATATTATAATAACGCTTCTTTTAAATAATTAATCTACTATATAAAATTTTGTTTTATTAGTTTAGAAGTCATATGCGTTGCAGAATAAAGGTTATAATATATCGATATGGACTAACTCAACAGAAGTATCACGCAATAAATAGCAGATTTGGTTGTCTATAATTTATTATTATTCCGTTTTTATCTTAGCGTTAATGGAAGTATTCACCGTCCCTGTGGTGAGCATATTTTGTGCCACTACTTCAGACATGACAAGCACAACGCTCCCTACCAAGAATCACCTGAATTTAGAAATTCATATGATGCAACTAGTGGGTTGGTTACAGTTATGACCGTAACCGATACGGCGGTAAATATTTGTGACGAACTGATTACGATACTATTTAGCGATGCAATTTAATCGTTCAATGTGTTGTAAGACGTTTATAGTAATAATACTTTATCAGCTGATTTAGTATGCAAGTTGGGGTTTTATTGATATCTTTAATGATATGGCATACACTAATAGGCAGCGCAGTATTAAAACCTATTTTAAATTAAAATATCATCTCTTGTCAGTGATGTTGAACATTCTATCATTTTCCTGAATATAGCACCGTACAGAGCGAGAGTGGAAGGTGAGTGTATCTTTTGCCGGATGATATGCAAGTACATTTGCTTTTAAAAGTTCGTCCAACATGGTATCGTCTTGAACTATTTCTAGAGCCATATTATACTCAAGCCCCTTATCATCATTTTCCAACAAAGCTTTTATGAGTGGCTTCACTTTCTCATGATATAATTGTCCCTCATTGATTTCTGCTTTACGAAATTGCTTACTGATTTTTGTAAAGAGGTTCTGTTTGATATCTATAAAAGTGTATTAAAGAAATTAATCTAAAACAATATACTGTAAATTTATACAGTTCATTTGGTTAATATCTACCTTCGAAAGATTTTTTGTCTTCAATACGTGTCGCCATAGAATTCAATACCGTGATACGTCCACCAATTAATTCATGTAACTTCTTTGCTTCTGCATCATTACATACCTTACGCTTATTGACCAGATAATCTATAGTTTCACCTTCAGTAAAATCTTCGATTTCCGTTACTGGTTCACTTGCTCGCGACCATGCACTACTTTCTAGGAATAATAACCCAGCCCATCAATCACATTTAGGAATCTTTCATTACCTCAAAAACCATCAAAGGTCAAGGTTTACCTTTCATCCTATTTAGAACCGATCTTTCGTTGGTGACGAATACTACAACATATTTTAAAGAATCTACACTCATTTTAGCATTATCTTGAAGAAGATCGATAATTTCTGGATGTACTTTATCAAGAACGTTTATGTTATCAAATACAAGAACCGGTAGTTTCTTATATTTCTTTTTATATACAGCAGCAGCACGCTCAAAAGCATTCAGAGCGCTTTCCCACTTAGAATCCTCAAATCGAACTATAAAAAGAAAAACTGTGATGAAAATTATTGACTATCAGGAATTAAAGAAAGCAATTAAAATCTTACTACTATCCGGGCCCATAATTTTCCGTGCCAACTGTCCCATAAAAGAAATACATTGCTTGAAATTAATAGCTCTAGCAAGTTCGCGGCCCAAACCTTCCGAATCATTTAAATTTTCATGGATATTAACATAAATAACTCCTTGCCCGACTTTTCTTGCCGCAATCTTGCTGAGCGTTGAAGATCGAGCAAATAATTTCCAATCTTTTTTATTATACCAGTTCATCCATAGATAACCCCATAGTTTAACTAGATTATTTGAATAACAAAACTGATATGTCTCTTGAACACACAATTCATA